GACAAAGCCTGTTCCCTATACACAAAATAAATTTCAGTAGAGTTTTAAATGTTAAAAATTAAAATATGAACATATTAGAAAAAAGGTGTAGGTGAATATAATCTTGGATACATATAATGGAATATAATCTAATCATTACACTGAAAGAGTGGTGCATTTAAATAAAATTTTTTTTTTAATTTTTTTAACACTTATTTATTATTGAGAGACAGAGAGACACAGAGCATGAGCAGGGAAGGGGCAGAGAGAGGGGGAGACACAGAATCCGAACGAAGCAGGCTCCAGGATCTGAGCTGTCAGCACAGAGCCTGATGCAGGGCTTGAACTCACAAACTGTGAGATCATGACCTGAGCTGAAGTCGGACACTTAACTGACTGAGCCACCCAGGCACCCAATAAAAAAAAATGTTTTTAATGGTTATGCTTCAAATGCCACCAAAAATTTACAAATATAACAAATCAAAAAAATATATCTGCAATATATACTACAGAGAAATGGTTACTACTGTATACATTTAAAATCTGTTTTAGAAAATTCAGTAAGAAAATACACTTGCCTCGATAGAAAAATAGAGAAGGAAATCGTTGGGAAATTCCCAAAACAAGAAATACAAAAGTCCAAGGGAAAAAACAATTTTACTAGGAACTCAGAAAATAGAAACTAAAAGCAGATAGCATTTCCCCCTATAACTTGGAAAAAACAAGTGATGACTCTCACTTTTTGAGGGGAAAAAGGCACTTTTATATACTTCTGGTAGGAGTAACAAGTGATTTTCTTTAAAGCCTTGCTGAAGAGCAATTTGGCAACAGATATCAAATACATTAAACTTTTTCATACCATTTGATCTCAAATTCCATTTCTAAAAATATTTATATAAGGATGCCCACCCAAGCACTGCTCACAATAGTGAAATATTTTAAATATCCTAAATATCTAATAACAGGAATGATTAAACATTCTTTGGTGAATGTATAGAACACACTATTCTGCTTAAAAAGATGAGAAACGTGTAATGTTGCAAAAAGATGTTAATTATGATTAGAACAAAAATAAATAAAAAGCTGTGAAACAGCAACTCTATTATCTATTGTTTAAAAATTCACACATATGGAAACTATCAACAAAACAAAAAGGCAAAGAATGAGAGAATATATTTGCAAATCATACATCCAATAAAGCATTAATATCCAAATGTATAAAACTTAGGAGAATATACAGACACAACTCAAAAAAAGAAAAAAAAAAAAAAGCAACCTGATTAAAAAACAGGCAGAGGACGTGAACAAGTATCTTTCCAAAGACAACTACAGACAGACAACAGGCACATAGTGATGCTTAACATCACTAATCATGAGGGAAATGTAAATCAAAATTATAATAAGATATTACCTCATACTGGTCAGACTGGCTATTATCAAAAAGACAAAAAATAACAAGTGTTGGTGGAGATATGGTGAAAAGGGAAATCTCATACACTATTAGTGGAAATGTAAATTGGTGCAACCACACCCATTATGGAAAACATATAGTATGGAAGCTCCTCAAAAAATTAAAAATAGAACTACCATATGATCCAGCAATTCCACTTTCGGGTATCTATCCAAAAAAACAAAACTACCAATTTGAAGAGATATATGCACCCCCATGTTCACTGCAGCATTATTTACAATACACAAGATACGTAACCAACCCAAGTGTCCATTGATGGACAGATTTAGAAGAGGAACTATATAGATATGCAATGGAATGTTACTTGGTCAAGAAAAAGAATGAAATACTGTCATTTACAACAAGGATGGACCTAGAGGGTATCACGCTAGGTGAAACAAATCAGACAAAGACAAATATCATATACTTCATTTATATGTGGAGTCTAAAAAACAAATAAACACACAAACAAAACAGAGACAGAGACAAGAAACAAACTTGGTTACCAGAGTGGGGAGAGATGGTGTGCAGGTGAAATAGGTGAAGGGGATTAAGAGATACAAACTTCCAGTTATAAAATAAATAATTCATGGGGATGTTATATACAGCATCAGGAATACAATCAATAATACTATAATAACTTTGTATAATGTCAAATCATAATTACACTTACCATGGGGATCATTTGATACTGTATAAAAATATTGAGTAACTATGATATACACCTAAAGCTAATAAGATATTGTATGTCAATTACACTTCAATAAAAAGAAACTTTACAGATATGTAAGAGATTCTACACCAAAATGGGAATCTTTGGGTATGAGATTGAGGGTAACTAATATCTGCCACTTTTTTGCTTAGCCATCCATGCCATCAAGCCATCCTAGAGGACCAGTGAGAAGAGCTGAATAAACATTTCATTACAAAACATGGGTAAGTAGAGACAAATACAAGGTGCAAAGCAAACACAATGAAAGGGTAAAGAATCTAGCTGGAATGCAAAGACAGTTTCCTGAAAGAATTGCCCAACTGACAAGTGAGGAACGATTAGGAACAGCCAAAAAAAAGAAGGGCATTTGGTGAGGTACGGAGGGCTAGAGAACTTAAGTACCCCAAAACTGGCACAACAGGAGGAAAAAGGAAAAAGACCACTGGCAACAGTGTAGAGAATCAATCAGAAGGGAACAGTGGAAAGACTGTCAAAGACATCTGGGGGAGAAATAATGGAAAGTTTAGCTAAAACAGAGCAGTGGGTATGGAAAGGCTAAAAGAGTGTAAGACATATAAGTGGTATTAAACAGGTAGAAACCAAAGGACTTGATGATTTGAGAGAACAAAGCACAAAGAGGTATCTAGAATCACTCTTGGCTAGATTTGGGTAGGGATTGAGGATTCTTGTGGAACAGGATAAGTAAGTCTTCAAGCAGTAGAGGAGTCTTTGCTGGAAATATGAACTTGAGGTCAATGTTTAAGTAGCCGCTGAAGTCTCTGTGTGGTGAAATTGCCCAGGAAAGGAGAATATACGGAAAAAAGAGAGAGTTGAACACAGAATCCTGGGGAAGACTTGAGAGTGAGATGAAGAAAGGCTAAATGCCAAAAAGAGACAGAAAAGACAACAGATAGAAAGGTAAAAATTTTTTAATTCAGAAAAAAATAAAATCAGAGAATTTCAAGAAGAGAATGGTCTTATGTGTCAAATGATGCCAAGAGATTGAAAAGAATCCATTGGATTTAATAACCAGGCAGCATCTGGTGTAGCAGGAACAACTTCTGGGCAGAAGTCTCCTAATGTAGGAAGTTAAGGAATGCATGAGAGGAAAGGAGTTAAAGTGTCAGAGACAGGAATCCATAGCCAACTCTTCCATCTGGAGTGAAGGGAAAAAGCAACCATAGCTGCAGGGACAGAGGGTTGTTTATCATGGTGGGCACAGAATAATGGCTTCCCCACAACATCCACATCCTAATCGCTGGAACCTGTGAATATGTTACCCTACATGGCAAACCAATTTTGCAGACACAATTAAGTGAAGGATCTCTTATGGAAGCTTATTTTGGGATGGCCCAATTCAATACAAGAGTCCTTATAAAAGGGACTCTTAAATGTCCTGGTAAAAGATCAGACAAAAGAGATGTTATGCAATTGGCTTTGAAGATGGAGGAAGGGGGCCACAAACCAAGGACAGCAGGCTACCTCTTCCCAAC